TGGGCCTTGTGAGCAGGAGGCCTCTCCACGTCGGGCTGGTCTGGCCAGGGGAGCGTCTGCAGGGTGCAGTCAGATGACCTGGGCGTTCCCACGGCCCAGAGATGAGGCAGCTTGGCTCGGGAGCCTGCTGGCAAGTGCTGAAAGCTGCTGTTAGACCAGCCACACAAAGGGCTTCTGCTAGCTGGGATAAGCCAGCAGCCGGGGCACAGTGGTCCACCCAGTCTTCAGGGCTCGTCTCTGAGGTAGCAGGGAGCTTGTGTGGTGATAAAGGAAGGATGAGAAGTGCTGGGACTTGGCTGCCTGCAGAGGAGTGAGCCTGTGCTCTGGTTGGAGTGTCAGCCTTGGCATACTCCTAGAAAACGTGGCGGTGTGTCAGACATCCCAAGTACCACTTGCAGCAGTCCCAGCTGCTTGGACAGTTGACTCCTAACTCCTTTGTTTGTTTGTTTTTCCACTTTGGGCTGCTGTGATTGCAGCAGCTTCTTGAGGAGCTGGGTAGACTAAGAGCTCAAATGTACTGAGGAAGAGTGCGTGGCCTGCCAGCCTTGTGGGTTGTTTCTGATAATGCCCTAAGATGACAGTGCCAGGCTTGTTTGCAGTCCCCACACCCCCTCATAACGTCAGGGAAGAACAAAAAGTATGCTGTCTGTCCTTGGTCCTACAGCACGTGACTCACTACAGTTTTTTGAAGTCTGTGGCTTGCTGTAGGGCAGCTCCAGCTATCACTGGGCACGGGCTGTGGCCAGTCCTCAGTCGGGGGGATCTGAATTTGCGTAGGCTCCAGATAAGCTCCACTAATGGGCCAGTCTCTGCTGTGGAGATGCAGCTGGATGTAGCAGCAGGGCTTCTCCAGGGCAGCCATGGAGTATCCATTACAGCCATCAGAGGCAGAGCAGCGTGTGTTCAGTGTGGTGGTGTGGGAGGGGCCCTGGAGTACCAGTGGGAAGAATTCTGTTCCTCTGGAAATGCCCAAGTTTCTGGCATGGCAGCACAAGGACTGTGCTTGGCCTGAACATCACCTCTAAGAGTTCTTCAGCCATTTCAGAACCACCTGCTCAAGGATGAGCAGGCATTGAGGTGAGATAGTGCCTGCTGTCTGGTCCAAGGGAACCCCACCCACTGCAGAGGGCAGCTGGTTTGATAATGGATTAATTGTTGAAGCTTCCAGATCACATGTACTCATCCAGAATGGTCTTTCAGACTTGCTATGATAGTAACCCGTGGTACATTAATTGAAAGCTTGACCTGTGTTACTAGCTCACTTCCTAATGCAGGGAAGTCCTGCCCATTAGTGCTCTAGAAGCTTTTGAGACCTTGCAGTGTGAAAACCTGCTTCTCCATGGTGGGATACAGGAGGAATAGGTGGCTCTGAATGGATCAAATGCTGCTGGCATGAGTGGGGCTGGTTCTGAACCTCCATATTCCTGGCCTGAGCATGTCTGAGTGCATGGGAACTCCTGAAAGCACAGCTGTGCACGTGGTTCCCTGGCTCCCCCTGATGTGCTCCCTGTCCCCAGGTGCATACCTGTCTGCAGAGCTCTGCAGAAGCAGTGCCAGGCTTTGGTGGCAGCCCAGGCTGTCTATATTGAGGGAGGGTTCATGAGGTGACTCACAGCTCACTTAGCTGTGGGATTAGAGTTCTTGGTGCATGACCTGGCTGAGCACTGCAGCCTCAGCTACAAAAGGCTGGTCCTGATACTTGGAGTCATGTTTGATCTAAACCACAGGCTGCTAGAATACTGATGGTGAGTATCAGAGGAAGGTCCTGGCAGTGGCAGGCTTAACCTAGTCTGCAGTCCTTACTGAAGCTGGAGCCTGTGTGGCAAGTTACCTCCTTGTTCACATGTTGCCTCAGAGCTACACTGCCTGTGCTACTGCTTTTGATGCCTGTGGCAAGGTCCAGGCAGCATCTCCTTTGGAGGTGCCCTGTGACAGTGCATTTTGCCCCCAGGACCAAGTCCTAAATCAGCTCTGGCTTGTGAGTTCAAGGAGTTACTCTTCAGAAGTATCTCAAAATCAAGTTACCTTTGAAATGGGCTTGCTGGGAGCAGATGGTCTTGAGTGATCTGTAAAGTGGCTTGTTGGTATTTTAATGCCATGGAGCTTAGGAATGGCACAGGTCCTGGTTGTGGGCCAGAGTAGCTTTCTTCTGTGCTACAGCTGGGTGGGCAAAGTGCTGCTGCTTGGGCTGCCAGGGCAATGCTCTGGTCGCTGTCTGGGTGCTCTAAAGGGAGTGGTGAGGCTTAGCTGGGTCTGTCAGAGGGGATGGAGCTTGTGTGGTCTGCAACAAGTACCTGGAGTCTTGGTGTGTAACGGGGATACTGCTCCTCTTCCACTGTCACCTTTCCACTCAGATCTTTCCAAACCCTACTTGCTGAGGGGGTTTAAGAAAATGTGTCCTTGTAATTCACTGAGGGTAGTTAAAGGCAGCATATGAAGGATGATCTGCTTCAGACAGCCCCAGCTCCTGAGGTGCAAGTCAGGTGCACAGGAGGGTAGCCCTGGGTGCCAGGTAGCCCGTAACGGGGTGGCTGTGCCCTCTGGCTGTGCTGTGGTGGGAGGTGGTGTCCTCTTTGCCACCTGGAGGAGGGCAGGAGGAGAAGCTGCCTATCAGCTAGTGGAGGTGCAGCTGGAGGAGACCCCTGTGTAAGGTCAGGGTGCTGGTGAGGATTTTCCTGGGAGCAGATGTGCCAAGCTCTGCAGCACCATCCAGCAGTGGGGGTGTAACAGATCTTCAGTGCCACCTGGAACTGTCCTATGAGAACCAGCTGCCACAGAGTACATGCAGACTTTGGTGTGTCTAGACCAGATTCTAGCATGAGCTTTTGCCTGTTACTTAGATTTTTGGTTTAGTGACTGGAAATGTCCATTTTGAGCTGATGTGCCCCTCCCCAAAAGCTGAAGCAGGCTGGCTTTCTGGAAGTGGGATTACAAAATCAGCTTCTGCAATGGCAACAGCATTAATTGCAACACTTTGAAGTAACTGACTTCAGACTTGGAGGAAGTAATGGCTGATCTAATTTTAAATAGTGATCTTCCTTTGTGAGCCTCTGGGTTAAAAGAGCTTTATAAAAATATTCCAGACAAGAGAAGGGATTTTTTCTGGATGCTATAGCAGTCTGGATAGCCTGAATCTCGAATCTGCTTACTTCCAGTCCTTAGACTTGAGATTCTTAGGAAGATGCTTTGTCCATCAGAAGAGGTTGCTATTCAAGTTAGTGATTTCTTCCCAGACTTCCTGGGGCCCAGACCCTTGAGCAGCACTGTCACTGATCCCACTAGCAAAGTCTTTGGTGCTGGTTTCCAGGCCCAGCTTACATCTGCAGGCAAAGCCTGCCTTCTGCTCCAGGCTCAGCCTTCCTGCTAATCTGGGTTCTAGTTCTGGATCACACTGAGCAGCCCTTGACATCTGGCTCAGTGACAGTCAAGGCTCAAGAGCTTTGCAAATACAGAACAATTCCTAGTTGATGATGAGGCTTCCCCTTCAAGTTTTTGCAGCTGGAACTGAGCTCCCTTCTGCTGGCGAGGCCTGTGTTGGGGTGGCAGTGCCACTCGGCTGTCTGCTGCTCGAGGGCAGGCTGAGGCAGTGCTGAGAGCCAGGAGAGCACACCTCCTGGCAGCCCTTGGACAAGGGGCATCAACTCACTTGTGCATGCTGGTGGAAGGCAGCTACAGACCTCTGTGGAATAAGCAGCTGTTCCTGCAGGAACCCCAGTTTTTTAGTGGGTGGAAAAAAAATCAGTAAGTGTCTGAACAGTATGAAGATTTGGAAATCCCTGTGGTTTTAATAGTCCCCAGTAGCTATTTAGAGCAGGCAAGAGCATGTTCACGCTAGGTAAGACTGTCACCTTTGAAGGACAGCCTGATGGGGTGTGAAGAGCAGACTGCCCCCCTCCCACACCCCTGGCAGTGCTGCCCCCGGGACATGGCTCTGCACGCTGCTGACCTGCATGTCATCTCTTGGGTGTTGATGAGTGCTGACCAGAGTTAAGGGGTTCTGAGTTCTCCAGAGCAAAGCTGGAAGGAAAGGGGCCATTCCAAACACTACAGAATCAAGCTTCCACTAATACCTCATTTTTTTTGTGAGACTAATACCAAGTTTCCAGTGCAGGAGTTACTTCTTAGGTTAGTGCTTTGGGACTACTCAAGCAGTTCTCAGCTGGAGGTGATAAGCCCATGTTCTGCTCTGAAAACCAAGCTTTGGATTTCTGGGTTGGCCTCTGCATGCTTGAGTGTTTACACAGGTGGTCAGCACACCTTTGGGGTGAAGTGGTTGTTTCCCTAACCTACAGGCCATACCCTTGTGGTTCAGTGGTTGGATTAACAAGTGTTTGGACCCGAGTTCACGGTGGGGTTGACACATGAAAGGTGTCCTTTCTCCAGGGCCTGAAGGGCAGCAGTATGTGAGTGTTGCTACCTCAGGATGTCTGACAAAGAAAGCACAGGCAGATAAGACTGGAGGAAGAAGGGGCCATGTGAGAGTCACCTTATTAACCCTGGATGCCTCTGAGAGCACAGCCCAGCTGGCTCGGAGTTCACTGGCTGCCGGAACCTGGTTT